TCTCCAGCTATTCCCATCGAAGTGGAGAAATATGGAGGAATGATTGAAATGCAGGAGGTATTTTCGTTGAACAGATAGGCGATTGCAGAGGTGTTGAGTGATAATATAAAGAAATACGGATGTTTTCATTCAAATATACAAAAAAGGTAAAGGGGAAATAAGAATAAGTATGTAGAAAAAGCGCAATGAAGTTCGCGCATGTCACGTCTCCAGCTATTCCCGTCGAAGTGTAGCTATGTGGAGGAATGATAGAAATATAGGAGGTATTTTCGTTGGACAAATAGGCGACTGCATCAGAGGTAGGTACGTACATTAATTACGAGGAGATAATAAAGTAAGAAATCGTGATGTAATCTCTGTGGAAAAAGAACGCGGGGATGACGAAATTAAATTTCCGAGCGAGTTGGCAAAACGCGACATACCATCGCTAATTTCGTTTTTCGAATAGCTCGAAAGACGCGAGCCAATTTGCTCTCGGATCGAGCACGACCGCCTCGCCTAATAACTCGTATAATTAAAACTAATTTAATGCACGTTATCAGCCCATCATCGATCATTCGGTCGAAGTGAGTCGCAAGGAAAAAATAGTGGAATTACCTATAGGGATAAGTGTGGTATAATTCGGAGTGTTTCTTTCAGTTGTCGTCCGTTTTTATCCAATTTCCCGCTAGCTAAACGTTGTAAACGTCAATTTCCTTGCTCAATAAATTTCCACTTATCTAAAACAACGACTCCACTCTCTTTGATGTCCCTTAATGCTCCGCTAACAAGTCTTTGTATCGGTCGTTGTCACGCAAAACACCTACCTCGATATAAATCGTTTGTAGTTTGTAGTTTTCGCGTAATTATTTGATTTATTGCGTTCGTTCGGTTTTCAAGTGGACGATGATTTATTAATTGAACCGTTGATTTTTCCTCCCTTCCTCGTTTTAGGTATAATATTTCATCCATCTTAATGGTTCGTACGGCGATTAACGAAACAATGAATCCCGAAGGCAAACAAGAAATTAATACAAAAGGTTCTCGTGTGTGCGGTAAACTTTTTCCTCCTCGAACGGTCGAAGACGATCCTTGATAAATGGACGAAAAAGGTTTTTCTTCTCGCAAACTTCCCGGAAATAAAATTATCGAAAACGATAACTTATACCTACAGTTCGAAGGAAATAGCTGAAGCTGCACATTTGCGGCTTCAGCTATGCCTGTCGATCTGTAGTAGAACGAGACTTGAAGGTTTTAAATGGTAATAAAATAAACGAGAAGGGAAATCGGCGAGGCGGTTGTGTGCTCGTAATTTACCACAATGCCTAGTTAGTAGTACTTAACTACAACATTCTATCGATAAAGCGAGATTAGATCTTTTACAGGTTAAACTTTCAACACGCATATCCCGGCGAACCGAACTTTGTTTCGCCCGGTGCTCTGGATTCTACACGGTTTGATGTGAAATAATTCAAATAGCGAAACTATGCAATATTTACATGGATGAAGGATTTTTCTATTAGCGCAAATATGAATATTTTATGGAGCATTTTTTTTTTAGCAGACTCGACTCAACAGCACATTTTTTTCTCGATAATAAAAAATGAAACAACGAAAAGCCCCATAAATTCGAGCCCTAAAAATATGAAAGAGAAAGAGCGGAAGCAACTCTCATATTCTGTCAATTGAATCGAGAAATAAATCTCGAAATGCAAAAGTGACAAATGATGTTCACACAAATAGGGACTAAGAGCTTTGTTTGTTGAGATTTTATTATTCTCCCTATTTTTTATTTGTGTTATTTTTACCAGCGGTTTATTTGTTTGATCCATCGAGTGTACGGAAATGTCACATACCCACAGAGAAACAAATTCTTCTACATTTAAATATTCATCACATCGGCAAATATTTAACGCGAAAATTAGGAAATTACGAATAAATAACGGCGTTATCTTTCCGGCGGGAAGGAATAAACGAAAAAACAAAAAAAAGAAGCTCGTGCAGGTGCCAGGAAAACGGAAAACGTTTTGTTTACACAAAAAACTCCGGTAGAAATCGAATCGAACCAGCCAATAGGCGGAAATCCGAACATTCGGTGCATACCGAAACGCGAAAGTAAATTGGGTGAAATTTACAGCAGCACAACCAGCACCGATGTTTGTCCAATCGATTCATTCCAAATTCAGTCGATTTTCAACAATGTAAATGAATCTAAACTGTTAAGCGATGTGCGAGAGGGTTTCGTTATTCCGGCCCTCGTACACTCAGAAAACTCGCGCGAGCGAACTCGGAAATTTCGCTACCCTTTTATTCCTCTTTTATCGACTCTAATCCACCTACTAATCTACTCGATTCGCGGGAATTTAAATCGGTACGCCGCAATTCCATACCCAAAATAAAATAATCCCTTTTTGTATCGTACTTTATACCTTTGATCGCTTGGAAATATTTGTAGGTAAATATTTTATGGGAATGTGCAGTATCAAAACTGTAAATAGTGTAAATGGGTAGAGAGGTAAAGTAGTTTTACTGAAAGTACTTCTAAATATCTCTCATCAAATCACGAATATTAGAAATAATCACCTAATGAATGTATAAGAAAACATTACTTTCAATATAAAAATACACAACACACGAAACACGAAACAAGAAGTATAGAAAGAGAATCGTTATTAAAAAATCGGCCACGAATTCAATATAACGCCTTCGGAGTTCGTTTTGATAAAACGATTCCTATTTCCGCGGCAAATAGAACCGTTGTAACATTTGTTTTCCAGCGATTCTCCGCAGCGGCGAATGCGATTCCTGATTTCTGGCGTTCCGTTTCGTTTCGAGAACTTCGCCGGAGCAGCAGAAATTCAGTTAGCGCCCCCGGGGTGTCGATGACTACGCTCTATCGACGGTCTTATTGCGCTAACCTACTCCCGTTCTCCCGGTCTCTTCGCCTCTCGTTTCTTTCCACCCCCGTGTTTCCATTGTTCTATATGACATGTTCGTCCTAGTACGGGGAACTTTGCTCTATTTCCCGCTAATTTATTACGGTTTGCTTATACTCTCGTTGCATCTCTTATGACTAGTTGCACCAAAGCATCCTAGGATGAATTCCTATCCTAAGTCAGACCTAAGTCTAGAGATAGATTGTCGATCACAGATAGATTGTCGATTTCTACGAATGTTCTACGAATCAAAAATTTGAGAATTGTCGGGAGAGTTGTAAAATGATGGATATAAATGCAGATATAAACATTGTGATTAATGTAGATATAATAAATGATGTAGAGGAATAATAAGAACTAATTATTTTGAAACATTCTCGGAGGAAGAATTTTTTAAAAGGTTTCGTCTGCAAAAAAGAACATTTCTACAATAATTTAAATTTAACCAAAATTTAATTATGAATGTACTAATTTGTAGGTTACAGGTTACAGGATATGTTAAGGGCGCCACTTCAAGGTATTTTTAAATGGTAAAACATAGGTTCAGTAATTTCAGTAAGATTCAAATTTGGCTTCATCAATTGATTTGAATCTTTTCTATATCTAATATAGAGACTACAAGCAATGATCTCCTATTTTTAATCTCTGCTACTTCATTATAAATTTATTGAAATTTGAAATCAAAAACTGTCATTTATTTGCAATGCTATTTAAATGGCAAAACGTAATTCTAGTAAGCTCGAGTTTTCTCGAACGGATTTGTGAATAATTTTAGTAGGATGAAGAATACTTATTACAGAACGATGTCTCCTAGTTTATAATTATCCACAGGCTGTATTAAATTGAAAAAACTAATTAAAGTATTTTAGCAAATGATCATGATAGATTCCTGTAAAATTATTGTGTCACCTGACATAAATGTCAAATCACAGAACAATTTTGTAAATTTGACTAACGATAGAGTTGCCAGTAGTTTCCGTTTTTCAGAGATTTTTGGATATATTGCACTATTTTAAGGGCAGGTAATAAGAAATAAGGTATTTCCAGTGCACCGGGATACTTTTAGAGCACTTTAATGAGTATTTTTAAAACCCTACTTTTATCTTTTCAAATTGCAGGGAAAAGAATTGAATTTAAAATATTCCGAAAAGGATATCTTATTTTACTTTCTTGTACTTTTGATTTTATGTCAAGTGTAATCAAACACGGAACATCAACTAGTGAGTTAAACTAATCTCATCTCATCTATTGTGGAAAAATTTAACCAAATATAGTTCTATATTACCCCGCACGAATTATGAATTTGAGGGTGTGCTTTGGCGGCCTTAAAACCACAACTTATTCTTCTTTTGATCTTTTTTCACTGGCCCCCAACAACTAATAGGATATTTTGTACCTACTGTAAGTTTTAAATTTATTAATCCAAGCTTATGAAATAAGTTACCCGGTGAATAAATTCCGATGGAAAAGCGCCGAGTTTTCCGGCTCACGGACTATTTATCGGCGAGTGTGTGTGTGAGAGTATACCTTCATTTCGCGGCGGAAAAGTTTTTCGCCGGGAACCTCGTTACGGCCACTATTTTCCTCTGATACTTTTCATCTAAACTAATAGGGGAATATTTGTAAGAGGTTTATTAGATTTTTTCCTGCCTCGCGAGATTTATTGGCCGAAAACGCCGTAACGAATTTCCGACCGGGGCACAAATTGAGTTTTTTTCCCTTTTCTAATAAAAGCATAACCGCTATATTCGATCAAACGGATCGCATTTCGATAAATTTTCGTTTTAACCACCTATAGGATATTTATTGAATTGTTGCGCACGTCGCGTCTCTTGCTATTCGTACCGAACTGTATCACACGAAATATTGTTGTGTAGTAGCGTGTATATAAAACCTATACAGGCGCTTATAAATTAGAGTGAATAATACATTTAGTAAAATATTAAACAGTAAATCACCTCTGACATTTAATATAATCCGACAGCAATTCTGAAATTCGCAACGAAGGTTCTAAACATTGTAGTAAGACAGTGGAACATGAGCATTATTTTTCATCATGATTTATCTAGTTATTTACGAATTTATTATTGCTGTTGTTTGTATAAAAAAATGGGAATTTTCGAATAAATGGCCTCTACTATTCAGTCACTTTTACGTTTACGTTTCTACGCGAAACTCTTTCAATCACCATCACAATTCGCATGAAAATTTAACCAGAACAACTTGATTTTTTTTTAAACTTCATCGTCGTTGTCAACAGATCAATGTCACGTTCGCTCTGATAAATTCGGGATATTTTTGTGCGTTTGAAATCGGGCTAAATACTCGCCAAAACAAAGGTGGAAAAATACGATGGCCGGAGAGGATTGTGTAACTGTTGAGAATATCGGGGACACGTTGAAGACGACCTCGTCTAGGAGGCTTTGGGGCATTCTGATGAACCAAAATCCCAGTGTTGAAAGTAAGGGAATTTCGGAAATATATCCTTTAAGTATTGATAAAATGAATTATTATGTTTGTAGATAACGTGAGGGGAAGACCGTGCGAAATATGCGACAAATTGTGGAATGCTATCACGAAATTGTTCAGTCGAACTTAAAATCTGTCTTGTAAAATTTGGTCTCGAATAAATATGAAATTAGCGAGTGTATAATTTTTGTTTCATAAATTCGATTACACTTTATACTCAACAGAAAGCACCGCTCGAATAAAATGAATAAAAAAAAATCGCCCTACAATTGTCGCTTAACCGAAGCAACCCCAAAACTTTTGAATAATACGAACAACACCTGTAGAAGTGAAGGGAATTTTAGGAAACGACAAAGCTCTAAATTCCGGCCGTAAGTTACGAGCATTCCTCTTGAAAACTCCACATAATAGACCCGCCTCAATTTTTTCTAGTTCCCACATAAATACGAAGTTTGTTGCGCGAAAAAAGCGCAAAAAAACTCCCTTAAAACAAAAAGGAACAGTCGCTTACTTGCGCAATTAATTCCTACCTACTCCATGAACAATACTATCCCTTTTAACGCACCCAAACATTAATCAAGCGAATGAAAATATCGAAAAGGAGCCCTCGAAATACACCGAAGAAACGTATAATGCAGATAAGTGAAAAGATTGCATTGAATTCCTGTATAATAAGAACGTCTGGCATATTTATCGTCGTCGCGAGAACAAAACAGCCGGTTTACAATATGATAAGGGCTATATATTTTTATATTCCAAACCTGCTTCACGAAACTGCTCTTTGTTGCTCGAAGAAAAATATTCGATAGCGCACCTAATCAATTTCTCCACCACAATGTTAGGTTAATAATTTATGAATGTAGCTACTTAGAGTATCACTATCTGGTGAAGAGTAAGTAGGATAAGATTTAGAGATGGGCAGTGTATTTTAATAGAGGAAATTGGGATTAATTAAAGTCCATTTTGATGATTCCTCAGGGCTGTAGATCCTAATGCAGTTAGTTCGGCGGAAAGAACGAGACGACTCGAATACCTAAAAGGGGACTTAATCAAGGAGGATAAAACGGAGATTTAAATTAATTAAATATTTGAATAGGTTTCGGTTGCTGCGGAGCAAACTTATTATGACGCCCGCCTCCTTCTTGTTCACATTCGATTCGTTTGTCTGCGGAACGTGTTCGTCTCCCGGCGACGACCCCATATTAAATTCCTTTTTAACCTCGTCTTCGGGGAACTACATAAGGCAGATATTTCATAGACAAATACCAAAGGAGAGATATTTGTTATCTATGTTTATTTCATAATTCGAAACTACCGAACTGTACGGGCGAAATTAGTCGAACAATAAACGAGTCGCTTCCACCAACTTCTCTCTCTCTATCTATCATCTCCTTTGTTTGATTATTTCCGAGGATTTTTTTTCTATTATTGTGTAACTAATATATTTAGCGTGCGATTTTTGGAATTATCTTTGGAAAATCCTGTTAATCGTCATACGTAAATTTATGTTAATTGCGCAAAGTGTATAACATCGCGCAAAACATATTAAATAACCAGTCTTACAACTACATTTTAGCGAGGAATGTTATTACGGTTATGGCTCGTTGTTTAACAGTGTTTGTGTTCATATTTCTGGCCGGAACCGCTGCCGCTGCAGTGTTTGATTTAGAAGGTAACTCTCGATGCAAATTAGCACCACAACAAAATGTAATACAATCTAATTGCGGATTGTATAAAGCAAAACCTTTCGCCTCTTTTGTAAATCGTTTAATTACGCCTTCTATTGCAGAAGGAGACCGCTGCAGGTTGAGATCCAACGATGAAGGCTACTGCGCCATCATTTCCAAATGCGATTACGCTTACGCCCTTTTAGTTCTCGGATATAAACCGGAAACGTGCGGTTTTAAAGGCAAAGTTCCGATCGTTTGCTGTACGAAATTTAAGAGTGAATTCGACGAAACACCTTCGCAATCCGCCTTTTTCTAACCTATAGAAATATAACACTGTGTGATATACAATTTAGCTAATAGAAACAATTTTACGTATATTGATTTGCTTATTCAATTAGAAACCAAACGAATTGTCGAGGATCATCTAGAACTCTCCAGAATGATTTAAACTGTCTAGAATAATTTTAGAACGCTGTGTGAACGAATTGGGACTATTTAGAACTGTCCAGAATCATATGTCTAATGCTTTAAAACTAATCAAAATTGTTGAGAACCATTTAGAACATCCAAGAATGATTTAGTACTGTCTAGAATGTTTTTGAACTGCCCAGAACCATCTAGAATGCTTCAAGACTAATTCATAATGGTGCCAACAAACAAATTATCACTTAGTTTAGGTATACTCATCGTAATTAATGAAATTATTTGGTTAATAACTTGTACATCGTATCATTCGAAGTTTGCGGAAAGTGAAATAAATCACGGTGATCTAGCGGGGGGTGGGAATCGGTTCGGGCGCGTTCTATCGGGATAACTCAATTATAAAAGTTGATATTCTTTTAATATTCCCGGTGGAATCGGCTCGGAAGTGGAGTTTTCGAGTGGTTCGAAATCTCGCTCATGAAATGCGATTGAAATTTTAAATAAGCCATAAAGATATTCTTTTGTGGAGTTCGGAAAATTAATTTTAATGTCTCTCTTTAGCGTTGCTCGGAATTAATAATGGCGGCGAAATGGGAAAATGCCCTGTAGTGGAGCTAATAAAAAAAAAGACCGTGGAAAAATAAAAGCGCATAGTAATAGAAACATGTTTTAAATTCTTTACAACGCACTGAGTGCATGTTGATAAAAAAATTGCAACTAACCTTTTAAACTTTATATAAAGAAACTTTTTTAATATAGGAAGAAATTTTATTAAAATGATTTGTTGTGTTTAAAGCTAGCTGATTTACTTTCGTAAATACAATTTTAGTTATTCTATTATTTCGGACATCTCGCATACATTAAAATAGATAACGAAATGTATGAATTTTGTTAATGTTATTCATGAATTTGTTAGCTCTATCTGGGCGCTTCGAATGTACATATATAGAGGTATTTATAGAGAAAACTGTCTTAATCAAATACAGCAGACATCAAAGTAATTTAGTAGAGGCTTATTCTCTCGATATATACGATTATCCTATTTTATGTCCTACCCTTCTATCCTGCAGCTGTCCGTTATCCGTTAGTTACATTCGGGATACACGTTCAGCTACGCTCTGCTGCCAAGTATTAAATTTTACCCCAATTGCGTCATTTTCACACTACAAAATGCTCCAAACGACCTACATTATTCCTAACTCATATACATTTTACTCAATTCGCCTCCCTGTTTTCCGTCCATATTTAACCCGGCGCGTCCCTTAATCCCTTTTACTTCACCACCTCCAATTTATTACACCAATCTAAACGAAATTAATAACTTTTTTATCTATCTATAAAAGCCGCGTTAAGTATAAAACATTCTTTCCTATGATATACTCTTTGAATGTTGAAAGAAAATTGATTGTAGTCACGTTAGAACTTCGGAAACTTTCGCTCGTGTAAAATATAAAGAACGCTAATTGAAAAATAAAGGTGAGTTACTCGGTATTGTCGAATCGATAACGGCTCGAATGCAATATTATTTCCGATAGCGAGTTTTCTCAAATCTATAGGAGTGCAGTGGAACGGAGTCGAGCGCGGTTTAGGGAACATTTCCAGCGGGTTTTCGTTCGCAAGAAACGCAGATTGCCAGGTAATTCTGTATAGATTTGCGTTCGCTCCGGAATAATTCACGTTCGCTCCCCGAAGACTCGTAAGATATTCGGGAAAATATTCCCACGGCGGATGGGTGTGCGCGCCGGGAAATTCGTCGAAGGAGGTTACTCTAATCAGAAGGATTACATAATGAATTCAACGGTCTTGTTTTCGTATAATAGACGTTTCGGAAGCTGCAGGAGTATGGGAATTCATCGGGTACACTTCCAGCGCTTTAACGTTTAGGTTGTTTCGTGTATTATAAAATCATTGCTAATTGAATTTTAAATTTAATAAATAAGAAGTGTAGGCGAACGATGAGTTTGAGTAGTTGGGAGGATTGTTTAACGCCTCCAAAGCACGCCCTTAAATTCATAATTCGTGGGGTAATATAGAACTATTTTTAGTAAAATTTTTCCACAATAGATGGGATGAGATTAGTTTAACTCGCTAGTAGATGTTCCGTGTTTGATTACACTTGACATAAAATCAAACGTACAAGAAAGTTAAATAAGAAATCCTTTTCAGAATTTTTTAAATTCAATTCTTTTCCCTGCAATTTGAAAAGATAAAAGTAGGGTTTTAAAAATACTCATTAAAGTGCTCTAAAAGTATTCCGGTGCACTGGAAATACCTTATTTCATATTACCTGTCCTTAAAAAAGTGCAATATATCCAAAAATATCTGAAAAACGGAAACTACTGGCAACTCTATCGTTAGTCAAATTTACAAAATTGTTCTGTGATTTGACATTTATGTCAGGCGACACCATAATTTTACAGGAATCTATCATCATCATTTGCTAAAATACTTTAATTAGTTTTTTTTAATTTAATACAGCCTGTGGATCAATATAAACTAGGAGACATCGTTCTGTAATAAGTATTCTTCATCCTACTAAAATTATTCACAAATCCGTTCGAGAAAACTCGAGTCTTACTAGAATTACATTTTGCCATTTAAATAGAATTGCAAATAAATGGCAGTTTTTGATTTTAAATTTCAATAAATATATAATGAAGTAGGAGAGATTAAAAATAGGAGATCATTGCTTGAGTTTCTATATTAGATATAAAAAAGCTTCAAATCAATCGATGAAGCCAAATTTGAATCTTACTGAAATTACTGAACCTATGTTTTCCCCTTTAAAAACACCCTGAAGTGGCGCCTTAATCTTTTTTGCGATACTAGTAAAATTGATTGTAAAACGTTATTTTTTTTACATTTGTTACATTAAAGAAAGTAGTTTTGTGGAGCGTATATAAATTTAGTAAATTTGATGTATTCGGATCAATACCGGAAAGTTCCTGGAAAATGTCGACAATGTTAATCAGCGAAAGTCCCGAAAGTTGTAGCTTTTCCAATATCCCGTGTTCACTTTATCAAGTCCATGAATAAATTCCGGCGGATAAATCACCATCAATTCGAGTCGAACGAGCACCGAAAGAGAGAATCCTTCTTAAGGAATTACGTCACGTGTCCTTAAAGTATCCCTTCATATCCTTTCGGCTGTCAACACTACCAACAGGTATTGAATTTCTAAACGGTTTTTCACACTCAACAACGGCAACGGGAAAGCTCGAAGGAGAATCTCGACTATGTTGATGCCGAGGAGATGGCTCAGACTTTATTTTTATTTTTACTGTATATATCTGTCGGAAGTGAGGCGTATTTGTTCGGAATGCTAAATATATTTTTCTATTAGTTCGATTCGAAATTCCCAATTTTCCATGCTTATTTTTGCGTTGTACTTACAAACTCTCGAGTTTTAATGGGAAGTCTTTTTATTGCTTGCACTTTGCGAGCCATTTGAAATCAGGAAACCCGGAACATTGCGCTTTCATTATTTTCGTCCTAATGACTTTTATACGGTTTCATTAGGTTCCGGGTTGTTGCAATTTGCGAATTTGAACCGTTAACTTCTTAAAACTTTCCGCGGGAAACTCATCATACGTTTCCCATTCAAATATACCGAATGCTTTGGATTCACCAAACCTATTGAAATTTTCATTCAGTATTGAAATTGTGTTACCTGTGTGCTGCATTAATTCCACGCAGGAATTCCACTCTACTTACTGAAAAAAAGGGATTATTATTTTGGTCCACCGCGGTGGAAAAAATCCAGTATATACTCGGTTCGATTATTCCGAATTGAATAGATGAAAATCTGAGATAAAAAACCGATATATCCCATCATGAAAACATTTAATTGAAGGTTAAACGAAATCCACGCTCGTCAATTTATCCAGATAAATGGAAAACTCGCGCGATACGGCCTTTCCGGCGAACGAATCGCATTCGGGATTAATTCCGCCAATAAAAGTAGATTAAAAATTATCGGCTAGCGGCGAGTTTTCGCGCCGAAAATATAACGGAAGGCGATGCTAATTATTTCCCCGAGACTTCCAGTAAAATACACGGCGTAAAGTAATGTGGAAATCGAAGTTGCGTGCTGGAAAAGCGGAGAAACTGCGAGTGTGCGGCGCGAATTTAAGCGAAAGGAAGTAAACGGCGAATGTAAACATGCAAATTATTCGCCTCATATTGTTAAATGCGGCGTAAATTATTTTCTCAATACATCGCATTAAACGTATCCTAATGAGTATGGCGTGACGCGAATTTATTTCGCCGCGGTGGCGATCGCATAATTGCAAGGTTTCCCATCGCCGACGGATGTATCGCGTTTAAAATAATTACCGAACCAAAAAAAAATACACAAAGGCGATTTGAATAGAAATTTAATTGTTGCATATTTCAGTCGAAAAGGGATTGCTCATTTTTTCCGCTCTAACACAGCTTTATTTATGTATATTCGGAATTTATGTTTATGCCGAGTCGCGCCCGGGGCGGCCGCACTTACATACGAAATATTGGCTTATATATTCCTTTTCTTCTCGAAATTCAACGTAAATCCGCTTTTGTATATTTCCATTTAGATTTGAATTTGTCAGTAATCGGCGCTAGAAAAGGCCCCGACCTTAATTTCGAGCAGCTCTACCAATGCGACTCCATCGAGAGAAGGACGTTTTATCTAAATCGAATCTAATAAAAAAAAGCACAAACAAACAGAACCTACACATGTACGATCAACATCGACTGGGCCGTCTATTTTACGCGCTACAGCTTCGAGAAACATAATTTTTTTGTTGCTGTTATTTTCGAAAAGGCGCACTCGGATATTCTAATTGAATGTCTCGGTGTATACCCCGACATGCAAATCTTATTCTAATTTCGATGGAGGATGGAGCTCCGCTAACCGACAGTTCCGTGTGTATGTTATATACTCGGCGCTTCTCCCGAGGTGCACAGTTTCAGTTTACACATCCCCAGGGCAATCTCGCGAAGACTAGCGGGATACCTTCCCATATCGAACACTGCACTATTCGTATATTTCCAGACTAATTAGAATCGGAATGCACGTGATGTGGATCATCTCCAGACGACGCGATATTAACAACGAATGTTCCAGAGTTAATAGATATGTTAATTTTAATAAGATTATTATCTTATGGTTTGTTCAATGTTTCTACATATCTTGTTAAATCTAGTGAAGAGTTAAATAAACTGCTCCACAAAAGTTAAGAAAGTTCGCAAATTTTGCATATATTTTAAAAGTTACAGACTTTTTGATCACCAAATTTTCAAATATGCGAAATTAAATGTTTTCTCTCATCTTGATGATCAGATATATCATATCATATCTGAGTGGATTTTTTGCCCCTACCTCTACAATTCATACTAAATTTGGCGATCAAAAATCCTGCAACTTTTAAATTAATCTCAATATTTGAGAACTTCCTTAACTTTTGTGGAGCAGTATATTATACTGTTTGCTAAAAGGAGATATTAATAATGTGGTAATTTACAAAACTTTTGCTATTGGGTATAACAGTAATGTTTATATTATATTTCTTTAGTTGGACCACTCTGTATATCGAATATTTAACAATAGATGACCCAATAGATGACCCAATAGATGACCCATTTCTAATATTCGATAAAGTGAACTGGAAACAGTTAGTTCACAGTCCTGCTTCTGGGATATTCAATAGATACTAATACGTTATAAAATTAAATATACTTCCAATAAAATTAAATTGTATTGACTGTAATCTAGTTTAAAAAATTGCATTATTCTCTGCGAGTTAATAATTGTACTTGTGTTTTTTTATTGTCTCTTTAGATTGTAGACGTAATAGCTTTTTTCTTTGCTAAATAAACACAAAATTTCCAACGCTAAAATGCGCTGAAAAAGTGCAGCTAAAACGAAGATATTAGGAAAAAAGCGAGGAGTTTGGAATTAAAAAAAATTCGCTGCAACTCGTTAAGGGTTAATTGGCGTAAACGTCGTCAAGTTTCGGTGGAAATTGTCGCGAATCGCGACCGTCCCCGAGTCCCGGTAATTCGTAATGAATAACAAGTCGTCGCGACGCGTCGCTATGAAAATTATCGTTAACCCGGATCGCTGATGGCGTCATCCGGAATAGTGGAAATAACCGAAAATCTAGAAATTCTGGGGAACTTTGGCACCGAAACCGCAGACCGGTTGTCGCCTTAAAATTCGTCAATTAAAACCGCACTTCTATTAGAATCTAATACCTATCAGACTCCGTTAATTAAAATTCCTGTTTATTTAAATTTTTCGTCTCGACTGGCTTATTAGCGAGGCGCATTTTTGCCGTCGAAAGGAATTCCTTTACGCAAAGAATTCTCCTCCTTTGCAGCGAAAATGTCGCTTTGTCGATGTCTCTAGCATTCCAGAACATGTTCGCGAGTGCTCGCTGTATTTTCTTGGGTCGTTTAATCATCGGATCTTCAAGTTCCGGAATTTCTCAACAGATTAATAAATTTTCCATGCGAGTTTTGATAAAATTACGTACCGCTCGAAGCCCCAATAACGACGAATGTCGCGACAAAACGAGGAAATCGGCGCAGTTGTAGTAACGTAGTGTTCGATAAAAGATTCATTCATCATTTCTGGTCTGCGCGGTTCCTGGTAAAGCAATAAGCGAGCGACAATCCGTGACCGGAACGAAACGGAGTTATGAATAAAAAAAAAGGGCGCGACCTTAACGTACGAAAAAAAATACCCGGACCGCCCCGAAAAAAAAACTACCTTATTTTGCACTTATGAAATATGAAATATGAAATTCGCTTCGACTCGCGATGTTTACAAAGAAAAATACGTTGACTCCGCCGGAAAAATTGCGACCTTCCTGACCGTGGAAAATAAATAGCCTACCCTTTTTTTATCTATAGATTGAGTTTGTTGATTTTAAATTGCATGGCCGGTGAAAAATTGCACCGTAAATACCTGTATCCATGCAGATAAAATAGTTGTCAAGTACTTATATAATTAAATTCTGATAATAGTGAAGCAAAAGCATTTTTAGATAAAAACAATGATATCTTTGAATTACTGTGAGTACCTATGTATGTATCTATCAGGTCTATACAATACCGTATCTACAAGAGCTGAAAATTAAAAAAAAAACTACATTATCTACTCTCACCGAATTTTATCAACAAAGTACTATTAGTTACTTGACTATAAATAGTCAAAAATTGCGACAAAAAATAAATCACCAAGATGAACACTCTCTTGATAGTATCACTATTAACTTACGGTAAGTACCCTAACCAATTTTTGAGTTACAAAATTAGAAATTCAATCACACCCTAACCTCAACAGCCAGTTCCCTAATCTTGGGACAGGAATCCCCGACGATCATCCCGGTTCCCGGCGGCATCAGCGGGGACGGCATAACCACCCGCTACTGGGACTGCTGCGCCCCCTCCTGCGCCTACTACGGGTACCTCCCCAAGGGCATGCACCCGGTGCAAACGTGCCAGAAGGACGGCTACACCAACAGCACCCCGGCGAACAACGCGGATTCCGGTTGCGTGCAGGGCGGAGTGGCCTTCCAGTGCAGCAACCAGCAACCCTATCTGAAGAACGCCACGTTGGCTTACGGATGGGCGGCGGCCTCGTTCTCGGGAGGGCCGGACACCAGCAAGTGCTGCTCGTGCTTCCTGCTGTCGTTCACGGGCCAGCTGGAGGGCAAGAAATTTTTGGTGCAAAACATCAACACGGGTCCGTTCTTGTACGAGAACCAATTCGATCTGCAGATACCTGGCGGTGGAGTGGGTTTGTCCCACATGGGTTGCCACTATCAATGGAATGCTACGGATGACGGTTGGGGCGATAGGATTACTGGCGTTAAAAACGAAGCGCAATGCAAAATTTTACCGGAAATTCTGCAGCCGGGTTGCAGGTTCAGGTTCGAGTACATGGAGGGAGTTGATAATCCCAATGTGACCTTCACCGAAGTGAAATGTCCTCAGGAGCTGATTGATATTAGTGGATGTGGTTACATTTAAGTCTACATTTTATTTCAATTAGATATCACTTCTGAGATGAAACTATACTTGTTAAAGCGGAAAATTTAATAAATTTAATGTTAAAGAGCTCCTCTCTTGAGAATACACAAAGTACATCCATTAAACTACTATAACTACAGCACTATACAGACATTGTTCCACATCATACGCGTATACAAACACATTCAAAGATATGCAAATATCAACATGACACGGCTTTAATTAATTACGTTTCTGTCTTTAGTGTACCAAGTTAACTTACAAATATACAAACAACTTAAATGTTGTCACTGTGTGGAGGTTATTTTTATATTTAAAAGGAAAATATTTGTTACATAAAATGTACTTATATCTGTTGACAAAAAAACCTATCTAGGTGAGCAAGTACAACTTAAAAAAACAAGTACCTACAATTCAATAATTATTTGAATATCTCTATATCGATAACAACTAAAAATAATTTAATTGGAGCGTAAATTTTATTATATAAATCTAATTAAATCCGTTATTATTTCGATACAAACTTAAAACCAAGATGAAAGCGTTCGCTATAATTTTTTGCATCGCCTCAATATCGAGTTACGGTAAGTAAAAATAACAACTCAACATCCTCGCTCTAAGCCCAGCTCGATATTCAGTTAACTCATCGGCGATCGGCAACGAATCCCCGCAAATAATCCCCATGCCCAATGGTGTCAGCGGCGATGGCATAACCACCCGCTACTGGGACTGCTGCGCCCCATCGTGCGCCTACTACGGGTACTTGCCGGCGGGAATGCACCCGGTGCAAACCTGCCAGAAGGACGGTTACACCAACAGCACCGAAGAGAACAACGCCCAGTCCGGTTGCCAAGCGGGAGGAGTCGCTTACACTTGCAGCAACCAAATACCCTATCTCAAGAACGCCACCTTGGCCTACGGATGGGCGGCGGCCTCCTTCACCGGCGGTTTGGACTACAGCCAGTGTTGCTCGTGCTTCCTGTTGTCCTTCAAAGGCCGATTGACCGGGAAGAAATTCCTCGTTCAAAACGTTAATACAGGTACGAGTAGATCATTAAGAACGAAATAATAATTAAACGAATGTTTTGTGTAAGGTCCCTACTTGGCAACTAACCAATTCGATTTGCAAATACCTGGGGGTGGAGTGGGGCTTTACAATCTGGGTTGCATGACGCAATGGAACACGTCGGAGGATGGTTGGGGCGACAGGATCACCGGAGTTAAAGACGAAGAGCAGTGCAAAATCTTACCGGAGGTCCTGCAGCCGGGTTGCAGATTCAGGTTCGAGTACATGGAGGGTATTGATAATCCCGATGTTTCCTTCGAACAAGTGAAATGTCCCGCTGAATTGGTGGCTGTTTCCGGATGCGGGAGTACTAATTGATTAGATAACCAGTAATAAAAGTATTTTAAAAAACTATGCCTGTTTCTTGTACGTACTGGTAGATGCTAAATGGGTGTAACAAAGACAACTTCCGTTAGTCTCATATAATGAAAAAAGTAAGAGCGGTATTGTGTGATTGCAACTTTCTCACTCTAGCTCGAGAAAGTAAATTATTCATTTCATTATCTACATGTAAGATTTATTTAAATGCAATTCAAGTACACATTATCTAAGCAAATATAATGTAATAATTCATCTTATATAAATTATTTACATTCTATGTATTCCGTGTTGCCTAAATGTCAGAAACTTTGGGTGACCGGATGTTCAACAAGCAAGAGATCAAATTAAAAAAACAGTCCTATCCGAATAACCAATGCAGCACAGACACTGACCTCATCAATACATATTTTGACTTTTTGACTTTTTGACACTTGCAATGAGTTCTTATTTTATTAATCAGTTTTTCAAAAAATTAAAGTCGTGAAGGACGTATGAGGGTCATTCATTGAAAGTGTTCAGTGTTCATCATATTTTCTACAATGACCAGTAGAACTGGCAGTACAATTTCAACAAAAACATGTACATCAACTAAAACTTGCGATTGCAATTCCAATCGGTCCTTAGACATTCGAACACCGAAAAATGTTCATCTTTCAGCTTTTTACAAAAGGTACGTAAGAGTCACGGCTTAACAAACGTTACCGAATAACTATTTAATTCGATTACGTTTACCTTACAGAAGCTTCGCTTACTACACTGTGAAGGTTCGTATGCCTGTGCTTCTAACCAACATCATAGATACTCTAGTAAGAAACAAGAAGGAAATTGTTCGCACTTACGGAGAGGTAAATATGAGGTCAGTTTAAGATTGCTGACTTTAAACAATTCTACGATAATAAATAAATCGTACTAAATCATCTTATTAGGAAGCACAAGAGGAATTGAAGCAAATCATCGGGGAAATGTCGCAATACAAATACGAGTTGCAAACGAACAAACCGATTAAACCTTTAATCGAAGATAAATTATTTGGTACATCACCTCCAGATGTGAGAATATATAATGAACATATCCAAAATTTATCGCTTATCGAAGGACATACAACTCACTTCCATACCATATGGCTACTCACCGAGTGCTACATGTATAGAAGAATTCGACAGTCTTTCCAAACTAAGTAAGTAACAGTAACGAAGTGTTATTAGAATATAAAAAAAAAAATTGTATTTCAGGCATATCCTCAAAGATTTCGATTATTTCCAATCTCACAAACAACAATCGTACATGTCCGCTATACCTTTAATAGAAAAAATGAGCGAATTTATTACTCTTGTCCTAACCCAGCGCGCGGAAAAGGCGACATTCATTCAACTAATTAAGGTATAAATGTATTCTCGTATTATCCACATCATACTTGACATTCAAAATGTTCCAGATGAACTTATGGGGCAACAAATGTGACCTGTCGCTGTCGTTAGGTAAAGTCGGAGACGACAATACACTATTCGATGTCGAAGCACTAGATCCCTACATCCTGTGCGATCACAGCGAAAAAATCTGGGAAGCTGTTACAAGCCGAGCATCTAACGAGTACATCGGTAAACACTCGTTACTCAAATAAAAAAAAATCGAATGTTGTGATGATATTCCTTACAGATATCGTATTCGATAATGCCGGTTACGAAGTCTTCACCGATCTCTGCTTGGCAGATTACATGCTTACACACAAGATGGCGCGCACAATTAGATTCTACGTAAAAGCCATGCCCTGGTTCATATCGGACGTAATGAAGCACGACGTCTTCTGGATGCTGGACCAAATGAAACTCAACCCGAAGGAATCGATGCGCAAGCTGGGCCACCGATGGACGGACTACATCGACAAAAAGAAATGGGTCATATACGTTTACGACTTTTGGACGCTGCCGTTCGATTTCTCCTACATGGCCAAGGTAGACCCGGATTTGTACAGGAAATTGGCGCAGGCGAAAGCTGTGTTTTTCAAAGGGGATTTGAATTATAGGAAGTTGTTCGGCGAGTTAAACTGGGAGCCGTCCACTTCCGTAGACGAGGGTTTGCGGAATTTCAATCCGACGGCGTTGTGTATAATAAGAACAGTTAAAGCCGATATTATTTGCGGCGTACCGAAAAACGTAGCGCTGGAGCTCGATGCGAAAGATGAAAAGTGGTCGGAGAAAGGAGAATACGGTGTCATACAATGTTCCACCAAAGTCGTTCCGATCGATTAACGATGGGTGTTTAGAACGATTTATTAAAGGAATGGTTTATTAAAAAAAATCGCACTTCGCGAGACAATCGATTGGCTTTAAATTACAAATAAATAATCGAAATTGTTAACCTTAATAAACATATCTTCTATCTGGAGCTGAAGGGCGATCATTGTATTCGTTTTGTTGGGATACTGATCTTCCGAACGATGACATGTTTCCTTCTGTTGGAATTTTCACTCTGGGGATGTTTACATCACTAAAACGAGTAATTTTATTTCCAATTTTTTAACTTTATTCTATAAATACTTACTAAGGGCTGTTCTTAATTATTGCCAAAGTTTCCACCTGAAAGTATTTTAATCTATTATGTTTTAGACACATTTATCTTACTCATAAAACTTTATCATTCAAAATGAGCTTAATTGGTATTTCTTATTTCAGAATTTCAAGCAATCGGCGCATATGCTGATGATTAATTGCGTGAGTATCGGGATTATAATCACAATAATCCTTACCTGTATTCCAATTTTTATCATCTTATAACTCAAAAATCCGTTGACAAACAATAATGTAAATCCCCTGGCTGATATGGTCATAACAACTCCTACTGCTAATCGACATTCTAATGAATTTATCGGGCAATTGGTAAAATCTCTCAAAAGTAGCGAGGTGAACACCACATCAATTAAAGATATGCAACCAGTTAGGACACCCCAAAATATCATTGACTTAGATTTTCTATTCTTTTTGGAACGTACCGCTAAAACAATATATTACTTAAAAGTAGTATCAAAAATGCTCGAGTCCAGTGAATTGATTGGATACTATTTCAATTTGTTTACCGAAAAGTAAGTCTATTGATGTAGCCAAGATTCCTACGCTGAGGAAAAAGTATATCCACATTATAACCGCGAAATCTTGAGCTCTGATTGTCCTGGTTATTGATTCTGATATTGCATTTGACGTTTCTTTGTCTAAAACAATTTAACAACATATTTCCTGCGTAATAAACATTAACTGCACAGGTTTACTTACTAAGATATAATGAATAAATTAGTAAATTCAACAACTTTGAAAAAGTTGTTGGGTCTTCATCAGGTTGATGGTCACTGTAATAAACTACTATACAAGCCAAAGACAGGCCAGTCCAAACCAATCCCTGCAGCTAATTAGAAAAACAATCAGTATGATGAAATTAAATTTGCTGGAATATACTCACTCCTCCCAAAACGCTGGAAATTTTGCAAACAAGTTTTTGCGCTGATGTTAAAGACATTTTGTTTTAAGTATGTTTTATTTGTGCGATAATGAATGCGAATTTTACGGTTAGCGAGTATTTGAAATCTATAAATTTAGATTATCGATAAACTCCTTAAGAATAGGAATTACTTAAGAATCATCAAGATAAAAGATAATTCTTAAAATCGATAAAATGATTCAACGGATCTCAGATAAAAATTTATCTTCAATTTTCACACAATAGTTATACAAAAAAATATTTGACAATTTGGAGTATGATTAATAATAATACAACGATAAAAATTAAAACGGAGTTTATTTAATCGGTTCTAGATTTTTTATTTTCAGGTTCATCCTTATCCTCTACGTATTTGCTAGTACAAGCCTTCGGTTGGGTGTTCTTATAAGCGGGAGTAATCCAGTAAGGATTCTCCTCGGCATCCTTGGCGTACTTCAAAATCGCCTCCCTGGGATCCTGATCGTCCTCGACTCTCTTACTCAAACCTAAATTCCTAATCACGTAACTGCTCAAGGTCCCTCCGCTGGAGGCCACTCGACCGCCTTGACCCGAAGTGATAGGCAAATCCGGCCGCTTCGATTTAACCGGATCCAACCGGTCTTTTTCCATCTGCTTCCTGCTCGTCTTCCTCCTCTCCTGTCTAAACAGCGGCAGAGCGTGCGGCGTGATGATTTGCTGCGAGCTCACGATTTCAGAGTGCTGCATCTTGCGATGGTGCTTCACCACGCACAGTGTGGCCCCCCTCAAGCTCCTTCGTTCATCGTAGTAACATTTCACGAAACCGTTACCGGTGCCCACGAATATTTGGTTGAGTTTCGTGTGCCAGATGAGCTTGATCGTATGCGAGTTGGCGACTTCCATTCTTTTCACCAAGTCGAACGTTTTCGTGTCGTAGAAGTTGATGATACCTTGCTTGTCGCCTTTATCTAGCGATACTCCTGTAGCTACTAGGGCGTCGTTGGGGCTGAATATGGCGTCGGTCGTATCGTATCGAGTGTAGAGATCGGTGACCTGGTGAACTTGCTGTTTGAAATTCCTTAGGTCCCACAATTTCATCGTTTCGTCGCAGCTTCTCGTCAACAAGTTGTCGCCGATGTGCGAGAAGCATATGCTGGTTATTTCGCCGGGCGCGTGCGCTTTTCTGATCTGTTTCGCGGGTGCCACGGAGCTCTTCCTGAAGTCCCACAGTTGCAACGAACCGTCCGCGCATCCGCAAGCGATCACCTTGCCCTCTCTGTTGAAATTCACGGCCGTAGGGGACGTCTTGAGGCCGTTTTGGGCCCGGCATTTGATGATTTGCTTGTGGTGTTTGCCGCCTTCGTAGAAATCCCAAGCCCTAATCGTACCGTCGGCGCTGGTGGTTAGAAATTCTTCTTTCGTAACGGGATTCCAAACGCCTGCTAGTAATCCAGCCGTGTGGCCTTTGGTCTTGGCTTGATCGGTTATGTACATGTCTCCTTTGACGGTTTCTAATTTCTCGAAACCGTCTCGATCTATTACTTTAGCTTGACTTGCGCCGGAGATGACTAACAGTAGGTCTCCTGTGCTGGAATAGTGTAAGCCTCTGATTGGGTGGTTGTCTGCTGGTTGTAATGTTCGGAAGCTTCTCATGTTTGAATCCATTCCGGCGAAATCCCAGAAACTTACATCGTAATCGACCGATCCTATCAACAAATACTAACTTAGTATGAAATGAAAATAATGTACGTTTAATAGAATTACCAGAAGCTAATCGAGCACCGCTAGGATCGACACTAAGTGCCGTAACGGCTTTGTTGCCATGAACCATTTGAGTTTCGTGAGTACACGGAATAAATAAATTGTTATCTTCGTAACTTCCTTCCTCGTCACTATCATCACTGTTCGCTGTACTCTCTTTTTTCTCTTTGATATCTGCCGTAAGGTGCTCGGGCACCGGTGGCCCGACAAAGTCGTCTTCGCTGTCGTCGCTTTCGGACGAGGCCTTTTCTTCGTCGGGCTTCTTCGTTATTTCTCTAGCGGTCGCTTTCACCTGCGCAATCATCTCTTTAATATCAAACGACTTGGCTTTCTTACCGAAGTTTGTAATACCCATGACGGTTTTTATTTGCTGCGACTCGGCCGTGTCGTCTTCCAGGGCTTGTATCGCTTGAGGGGGCCCGAACGTTCCGAACGTGCCGGTCGCCTCGATATTTTGGGCATTGTGGCCGAAATTTGCGCTTATTTTGCCGAAACTGATTTTTTTATTCATAGTTACGGCTAATAGGAATATTTAAAACTGTTTAAAACATCGCACTTTTTTGTTTTTCTATCAGTTTTCGTGTTTTTATAGTTGACGTTGACATTTCTTTTGACAAGTATGACAGACATGACAGTTCTTTTTTCTTAAATTTTGGCCTCGACTACAAAGGCTAGCCGGTGTAATAAGTGGTGGCTGGTTGCCCAGTCGCGGCAGTGGCTGTCAAATTCGAAAAGAAGAATAAAAGACTTCACTTGTCATTCTCGTCAATGTGGAAATTTTCTTTTCTCTCTCGCTGCCTCGCGTTACATAATTAACAGCACGTTTACCTTATGTGCGAATTACTGTTGAAATATTATTATAATAAAGGGAAAAAGTACAATTGAGTAAGTTGATCGACCACCTCAGAAACCAAAGTTTTGACGTTGTTGACGTTTGCAATATGGAGACGACCGCGGTCGTTTATTACAAGGTCTGGAAACTCGACTATTTTTGTGGTAGCGGCGGTGTTTCGCTAAATGAATGAAGATGTTTTTGGTAGTTCACTTTTAGCTTATATTGAAAGCTCTGTAAACAATTTATTAGATTATCTAAGTTTCGGCTGCATCTCCAGCAAACTAAATGTTGAATAAAAAAATATCCTTTACAACATCGCTACATCGCTTACAAACGGGGTGCTACCATATTGTTCTGGAACAGTTCTAAATGATTCTAAAACTGCCCCGAACAATTTAAAAACAAAGACAAGTATTTACGTCGTATAAGACGGATAACGAGCGAAATGGAAATATCGAGAAACGAAAAATAAAGAAGAAACGGAAAGATGATTTTCATTTTCCGTGATTCATGCTGTTAGGAGCCCACTCCAAATCCCACACGGATGAAGGTATTCGTTTCGTTAATAAGCGAATGAACGCGCAAGGGAAAAATATATGCTCATTATATGCCGCATTTACTGGAAATCTAGGGAGTGTGCCATGACCAGATTAAATTTTCTACATATTGAAATGCCAATAATGCCAAATAAAATTAGGGAACTCTCGAGGCATACCCACTTAAAGAGTCAAACTGTTGAGCAACCGATGACAAACAACCGTCGGGGATTTCTCTATAAATCCGAGAGGGCCTCTCAAACGGCCGTTGAGCCGTCAATTGGCCGTCGAGTTAAAAAGAGCGACGATGCGCCAAAACTGGCCCGGATAAGTTAGAGCAACATGGTCGGTGTTGGAGCCGCTGTATCGGCCCATGTCACATGGGAAAAGGCCTAATGAAAGTTTCAGTAAAGTTTCCCGCGTGATGCGAGGAGTTTTCGACGAATCGCCCTCCCGGCGGGGGTCCAGGGGAAGAATGATTTTCCAGAGATTGGAAATTTCCCCGGCGTTCTTTTGTTGAATAACAGGGGTAGGTTATAAGTTATAAGTTACTAAGTGATGGGCTAAGTAAGAGTTATTTTCGGGTAAGTAAGAAGAGCTCCAGTAGATAGCGTAAGGGGTAAGAGGAGTAATGCCCGGTTTCTCGACCCTGCGATAACTAAAAGTTAACCTTTCAATAAGTTAACTTTTCTATAAACTTGCATGCAATTATAATTATCTGATTACCTGGCTGCTGATAATACAATTTGTCCGGTACGCCTTTGAAACAAAATGAGTTAATATATAACTTGGTCTAAAGGTAAAATTCTAGGCTTTGTCACTGGCAAATTCAAAATCATTAATTTTCCTAGTAATTGCAGGATCGGGTCGCGCGTGGCGCTAGTGTATCGTGTTTGCTTAAAACACAGAGAATGACCAATCTATAGTATATGGTAAATATGATAATCTGTGGTAATTATATCGTCTCGCGGGTACGGTCCCTTCGCGTGCTAAATCACCGGTGATGTGCCTGAATTTTCGCTCGGTCCACTCACGACCTCATCATCGTTGCTTCATCTGGTTCGGAGTCCTGGATATCGTTCCATCGGGTCCCCAGCAATCCGACAACTGCAAACTGCAATCGCTGGAGCGGACGTCGAATAAAAAGGTTAGTGACACGCTTCCTATATTCGGTGTTTCGCCATCGTATCCATTTTCCACCTAGCGGACTGGTCCTTCGATAGATTCCTCGATATTTTGCTCACCTTAAGCGTCTTAATGCACCAGCTACATCAAATATACATGGAGCAGCGAGACTTTTATTTCGCGTTTTCTCGGAACTTTTGTGTGTAATCTATCGAGCGAGCTGGATCCATTATTCAAGGGTTAGTTATTAACTTTCTGTATTTTTTTTCGAAAATTCGCCTGTCGATCGATTATTACTACTTACTGTAATTTAGTTACTTTGTAAATTGCCGTTATCTTTATAAAGGTGATGAGCTAGATTCATTTTGAACTATTCTTAATCATTTATAAGTGTCCAGATTGATTTAAAATTGCTTCTGGATTAATCTTTAGAACTGTCTAGAATCATTTAGAACGCTTCTGAACAAATTAGACTGTTCAGAACCAATTAGAAAGCTTTTGAACAATTCAGAACTGTATAAAATCGTTCCTCGTTTCGTTTCTGCTTCCTTCTTCACTAGATCTTCTTTTTTACTCCATCGCATACGAACCGCGAGGGAAAATTAATCGAGATTCTATTCGATAACGCCCCGTCGTGTTTACACGTGTTTTAAACGTGCCTCGGTCCTATAATTTTTGGTTTTTATGGGACTCTTACCCGCCCGTTTACCCACCTATCTCGTTTTCCATCTTGTTGCTCTTTAAAAACGGGTATTTATCGCTGGTGGTGACGCGATGATCTCCTCTTGTTTTTTTCGGTCGGTTTTTAATAGATTTTTAGGTAGTTCTTGGAACCATGTAGAAGTGTCCAGTATCATGTAGAACTGTTAAAAATCGTTTAGAACTGTTCAAAATCATTTAGAACAGTCCATAATCATCAACCGTTTTAGCACAATATTAAATCAAGAACGCGTGATTTAAAACAATTTAGAATGAATTAGAACGCTTCGGAATTATTTAAAATGATTCAGAATCCTTAAAAAATGTCCAGAATTTTTACCCATAGAGCTTTATCTCGGACATTTGTAGCTCGAAAAGTTTCGTTTTTGGAATATTTCCAGCGATCTTATTTGCGCTCTAAGCCGTTTTACAAGCAATTTCAGTTTAAGAAAAGGTATCGCAAAGCGTGCAGTAATCGATAGTTCGCTTTCTCGAACATTTATTCAAATGGATTTTCAGTGCTTTTACTATACAAAGGATATTCTCTTCTCGACTTGAATGGAATGGAACTTCTATCGGAAACAAGAAGGCGAGCTTTCTATTCGGAAAATGAATTCGATAATTCATTATTACAAATTTATTTTATTCATTTTACAGATATTTCGGTAATTATATAAATAGTAGATATGTACGTACCTACAAGCTACTTTTCTTGGTTTTCTCTGTTTTTTATTTTTGTGCAAAACTTTAAATAGTCAATTATTAAAAGTAATACGTTAGATTTTCCAAAATTTTTAATATTTTGGAACGTAAATGTTTACTAGAATTTTAATGCATCCTGAATCATTCTAAATTGTTCTAAACTAGTTCTAATGCATCCTGAATCTTTTTAAATTGTTCTAAATAAGTTCTAATGCATCCTAAATCATTCTAAATTGTTCTAAGTAGTTCTAGTACATCCTGAAGCATTCTACATTGTTCTTAACTAGTTCTAATATTCTAATAAGCATTCGAAATTGTTCTAAATAGTTGTAGTACATTCTGAAGCACTCTGAATTGTCCTGAACTAGTTCAAATGCATCCTGAATCATCCTAAATTGTTCTAGTACATCCTGAAGCGCTCTTAATTGTTCTGAACAAGTGCTAATGCATTCTGAAGCAGTCTAAATTGTAAATTGTCCTGAACTAGTTCTCACGCATCCTGAAGGATTCTGAATTGTTCTAAGTAATTCTAGTACATCCTAAAGCACTCTTAATTGTTCTGAACTAGTTATAATGCATCTTGAGGGATTCTAAATTGTTCTAATTAGCTCTAGTAGGTATACATCGTGAAACACTCTAAATTGTTCTGAACTAGTTCTAATGCATGCGGAAGTACTTTAAATTGTCCTGGGTCAGTTAAATTCTAAATAACCCTGTAACTTCTCCAATTTCTCATTACTAAATTCTAAACAAAATCATTAGCCCGCTAATGGCCTGTTTTAACGGATTTTTCGCCCACTCCTTGCGGGACTAATGTGTATAATTTCCATTTCGTGGGGATGTGGGGGGACTTTTAATTTTGACATATAAACACAAAAAAGGGCCCTCCACTTTTGTGAAATTTGTGTATTTTGTAATGAAGATGAATTATCAGAGAGTAACGTTTGCGTGCCTAAACAATTACCCGCGCTCTAGGCGTTCTGGAGGCATTTAATTCTACAAGGTGGTTAAAGAGGGTGTTTATTTCGTAAATAACGTATAGAACTGGGAATATTTGCTAAATTTTAAAAGCATTGTACGTTATTTTGACGTTATATTTTGATAATCATGACAGGTGACGCATGTCAAAATAGCGAGATCTACATATTATTCTGTTCAATATGGTGAAATTAAATCCCCAACGTTTTAAGGTGATTATAGTGAATAGCCAATGTAATTTAAACCTAGAAATATCTGGTTAATTTAATAGTATATTCGAAAATAACCCTGTAATAAACGCGGTAACGTGCGTGCATTTGCCGTCGTGATTCCCATAGAATCCTACGAAAACGACTTTTCTGCGAAAAGTCTCCGGTTATTCAATTTGTTTTGTTTGAACTAATTAATTGTTCGGTGAAAGAATGATAGTAGGCCGTGCCGTATAATTATATATACAGAGGTTAATCCATTAGTTAATCATTACAGGGGAAATGATTAAATCTAATGGGTTTTTGTTAAATATAGGGAGTAATAGAATCGTTTTTTTACGTCAAAGAAGGCTGGTGAATTATCTAGTTTTAATGGTTACTTTCGTTTTGTGATGGGTCGTAAAAATGTTTCTAATTTACTTATTCATGTTTCTGAAATTCGCTAATAATATTCCAAATAAAACAGTTTTAAAATATATTTTCTGGAAGAGGATCGATTTAATTCCGGCGCACA